TTGATCGTTCCTATGGCAGCTTTGTTATGCAGTCTTCCGATTTTTATACAATTCTGAACGAAACTCTAGAGTAAAAGACAAAAGTCTATATCTTAAATTTGACGAAAATCTTGTTTACGTAGAAACGAACAGACGGACATGACTAGATCGAGTCTGCTATTGATGCTGATCAAGAATATATATTCTTTATATGGTCGGAGCTGACTCCTTCACAGCGTTTCAAACATCTGACTGAAATTATAATATTCCTTTTGGTCGTTCTTGCCGCTTAGCTTTCCAGTAATGTCAACGGCACTGTATGTCAGGGAATAGGAATTTTTAGAAATGGATGAAATTCTTCCTTTTTGGGGCCTTGCATAATTTGTTGGTAATACAGTATCCAACTAGTCGCTTAACTTATTTTGACATATTGGCAAAACAATATTGCGAATACACTTTGAAAAGCGAACGACTTGCCCTTAAAGTGCTTAGCAGCATTTACAACAGTTATGGTTTCTTATTCGTATGAATGATAGTTCGCCTCCTCTGGCGTTGTATATTTGCTTTAATACTCGATCACATCCGTCTTCTTATATCATTTATGTAACCGAATTTCCTCTTAACCAATCATACTTGCATCGGTGTGCAACTCTACAGGGAAATCGTGATCAAAAGTGGTTAATATTCTTAATATTATTACTATCTTTCCATTTACTTCATGTTTGCTTTGCAAAGTGTGTTCCTTATATTTTTAAGATGTCAATAGAAAAAAACCGAAAACTTATAATTTTTTCTCGGATATTGTTTTCCAATTACTCGGAATTGAGTCTCTTTTGGAAAATTAAAAAAAAAAAATTCCCGAAATTTTCGTAGAAAAATTTCGTCTCATAAGGTATGAGGACTCTGTGAAGCACATAAAGGAAATCTTCGATTCTGTCTCTGATAATAATTCTCGACCGTCCTCCTCTACTCGCTCTATTGATGTTGCGGATGAGATCCGCAGAGTAGCTTCCAAGCATGATCAGCATATGAGCTCTGTGATCCCGAAGCCCTGTGGCAAGTTCGCTATCCCTAAGATTATTCCAAAACATACGATCCCTACTGGCTTCTCCCCGAATGCTGACTCTGACATTCTACCTGAATAAAAATCCAACTAAATGGATCTTGCGTTTAAAACGCGCTCTATTGGTTGGCAGCGGGTGCAGCCTAAAAAAAAGAAACAGCTCTGCAGAGGATTACTAAGTCAAGTTCCCAACAGTCCAATGCTCCACTGATGAGCGTAGATGATGATGACATGGTAGAAGTCGATGAAGTGAGTGATGGAGTCAATACAAAACCTGATTCCCCATTGAAAGTCAAGAAACCACAGCTTTTGGGAATTCCAGATGTCGTTGATATTAATTCCTTGGAGGCCATCCTCTCCCCCCTTATTCCATCTGATGATTTTGATTTTCTATTGTTTCCTGCTGGGGATGTCCGAATTCACGCAAAGGATTCTGGAACCCACTATACTAAAGCTGTTAAGGGCTCATCATGTTCAGCATACCCATTTTTGCTTAGACGAGGATAATATTTCGTATATTGGTACGTGATCTAGCAGCCTCCACCTCTATTAATAAAATTGTACAACAACAGGGACGTCTTGAAGGTTTCTAGAGTTAGACGGATGGGGGTGACAATTGAAGTATCCCGGAAGAACAAAACATTAAGGCAGTGTTTTAGGTGTTTTGACTTACACGGCACAAAAAATGTTTGTCTTAATGGCCTGTGTGTGGACGTTGCTTACTCGAACATCCTACTAGCTATATTCTGTGCTTGGCGAAGTCTTTGAATGACCTTGTTTGTGTAAACTGTCTGGGTAATCACGTGGCCTATGATCGATCTTGTCTTGTATATATTTCCAAAAAGTGATGAATCGTCGCTCTGGAATTAACCATGATACTCCACGACAATTCCCGTTGTCGAAACCAATTTATCCCAACCTCGGCTTTCCGCAATGGACTTTTTATTGAGTATTTTCCAAATGATGCAAGAGCTTAAAAGGTGGTCGCATAGTATCCCTCACATTGCAACTCTAGCCCAGAATGTGAAGGAAGGAGGATCCTCTTTGGCAGTTCCCAGTTGTAGAGCCAAATATGACTAATGACTGTCGCATTGGATTCTGGAACGCCAGCAGTAACATCAAATGTGAATGAGCAGCTTATATTTAACTTTCAGCACAAAATTGACGTCATGTTAATTGCGGAGACATATTTACACCCTGGTATCCACTTTGCTCTTCCAGGTTTCGAATGCTTGAGAGCCGACCACCCCAGCAATACTCGCCGAGGTGGTTAAGCCATTCTGATTTCCCACCTTTATGTTGTCAGGAATTGGAAAATTCAACTAGCTACCGTCATGGTCTCAACTAGCAGAGGAGAGTTATTGATTTGTGCAGCTTATCTTCCTCCTTTATTAAGTTGGACTAGTTTTAAGTTTTGATCACCTCCTCTGAGCTGGGGCATTAGTTCATATTTGGGGTAGTTACAGAGCTGATGGTAGAGGAAGAGTTCTACATTATGCTATAACGAATTCTTTGGCACAAATTCTAGGGGCTGGAAGCCCTACGTGCTTTCCATCCAACTCTAGGGCCACCCCGTCCTATGTTGATATTTATATTTACAAATCAATTGCAAGTAACCTACTCTCCATCAGGGACGAGCATGATCTTAGCTCTGACCACTTTCTTCTTGTAGCAACCCTTGCGTCTGCTCCTACTACTTCTGCCTCTAGATCTAGTCGGCTGAAACCATACTAATCTGAGTCGCATGCAAGTATTCCAAAACAAGATCCTGCAGAGAATTACTGGTGCTGGGTTGATTATCCGTAACGTAGACATAGCGAGAGATCTTAAAGTTCCCTTGATTGGAGACATAAGCAATGAGCAAGCTAAGCACTATAAAAATAAACTCATGTCGCACCCAAATATCCTTCCCAGGAGACTTTCATCTCGCAGACTTAAAAGAATTCCTCCGTCGGACCTTCAAAGGAGGAATTTCCATTGAACTTATCTACACACAATTGTTTAAGTTGATACACTATAATAATAATAATATAACTTTCCGTTTATTTTGCGTGTGCATGCAGCTATTCTCATTTGTGTATTTTTTTTATTTAGTTTATTTCACAACTTTTAAATTGTGCTGCTAGTGCTTTTGCTATTTTGCATTACCTTTTGTGCTGTTCAGTTTAGGGGTTGTTTGCGCCGCAGCGGCAGTAACACGTTCTTAAGCTTGCTTACTTCCACACTCTTCTTGTGTTTTGCTCTCCTGCTCTCTCTGTGCCGCTGCACCTCTTATCTTTTGACATCTCTCTTTTTCTATCTTCACACGTTAAAGAACAAATTTTCTGTTTTACGTAAACCTGCAAGAGGACCATTACTGAAAGTGACCTTACAATCGGCTGCTGCCTGTGAGAACAAATCTGGCATGCCAAATGTATTGGAGTTGCAGCTCGGACGGTGAAGGATGTAAAAAAAACATTGAATTGCGTTACTGCTGCGAGACATGTAGGGATGTAGAAAGGGAAATTATGTCTTTCATGCGGAAAACCAAAAATGGTTTTATGCGCATTTTAATGAGTTTTCGTAAAACTCTTGAAATGTTCTTGGCGCTGGACACCCAATTTAATAGCCTTACGCTATTAAATGAGTCTCCGAGGCGCAAAAAAACTACTATTGGTGGGCAGCATGTAGACGGTCCCCAATTACCCGCAACGGGCTCTCAGCAGCAGCCTCCCTCGGCACAGTGCTAAGATCGAGCGCTAGAAAAGATTCGATACCCTAAGGTGCAGCGGGAGTGCCTGTACCGCCGGTGATTTATGTTTTGTCCCCTGGGGGGTCGCAAATACTGACCCCACAAAGTCCCGTGTATTCCGATATATCTGACCAGGGTGTTAGGCCCGCAATACCGGCCGACAATGGGACAGCAGATAACAAATCTTCCTTGCCAAAAGCCATAGTTGCGCGGCTCTCCCCTGATCAAACATCAGAAGATGTTCTCGCCTTTATACAAAGCAACACCAGAGCCAATAAAATAAAGATTAAGGTGGAAAAGTTTAAATTTTCTTACGCTAGGGATATTTCATCTTTCAAAATAAATGTCCCTAACTAATGTCCCAACTTCTGGCGAGAGTACATTGTTGAAAAGGAGTTCGAAGTGAAGAAAAAGAAAAAGCGGCATGTAGGGATAACTCTTCATGCCTTGATCATACCACTGCACCTTTTAACCTTCGAGGAATGCAACGATGTTGAATTCTCTGTGTGAAGCTATCTATCAAAGGTAGCTCCATTTTTATTACCTGTTCACAGAATATTTCTGACCGTCCAGCCAAAAAAGTCCTATGTTTTCGGAAGACAGACTTTGAACGGCTGAATAATTTTATAAACGAGTTCAATTGGTCCGATCTATACATGTGCACTGACATGGTAGTTGCCGTGGATATTTTTTTACAGTGCCATGAATTCATTTTTTACTGAATGTGTTCCGTTATATTGTCCGCCCAGCTCGAATAAACCGCTGTGGTTTACTAAAGAGTTAAGCCGACTTAAAAATAAAATATCTATACTGTATGCTAATTTTAAATTCACCGGTTCTCAATCTGCCCTTTCATCTTATTTATCAGCTCGGTCAAACTTTACCGCAGTGTTATAAAAACTATTGTAGGTCCCAGTTCTCACTAAACGTAAGCCTAAAACAAATCCTTTCTCGTTTTCATTTGAAAATACTACCGCAAATAATGATCAGGCAATACCCGATCTATTTTCGCAGTTTTTTCAAACAACTTATTCAAGGTGAAGCTCATTCCATACTTTCCAATTTACCACTTACCAACGATGGTTTCCGCTCAGCCTGGGAAAATCTAACTAAGCGTTCCGAAAACAAACGATCACTGGTGAACAGCCGACTGAATATTAAAATACAGCATTGTATTTACCTTAACTAAAATATTTAAAATTGGTGTATAAAATGGTAATACGTAAATGAAAAATGTTCTACTATTTATTTTCTTTATTATTAAGTTAAAATAATAAGTTTGAACTTCTATAGGTTTGGGGTTTTACATATATTTCTAATTTCTTCAGTATCACCGGCTGCTTTACATACTTCAGAAAGCAGATTTTTTAAAATAGACGCTTGTCTTCCCTGCGAACCGTCAATTGTCACAGTCGGAATAAAAGTTACGGATGGTCTTATTGCAAGAGTGGCTTCTCCGTTTAATTTAAGCAGCTCCAGACCGTGTTCACTTCCGGCACATTTTTCAATGAGGTCAGTGTTTTCAACGTTATATTGCCTGGAGCACTGAAACGATAAGAACACAATGTTTAAATCTTATGGGGGGGGGTTAAGGTAAAATAATGCGAAAAATTCAATGGTTTTGTGTTTTTTTTTCCGACGACACAGTTAAAATGTATTTATTTAACGAACATTAACGTATAACATTATATATTATATTTTTATAAAGAAATATTCAAAAATATGGCAATGGTAGCAATTTTCCGGAAGTGTCTCAAAAAAAGTTGAATTGCGGTGCGTATCAAACCTCGGTGCTGGATTGTCGGAAATCAAGAAATCCAAATTCATTTGTTAGATTAGAGAATTCGCCAGGAAACGCTGTCGAGTTTTTTTTTTAATTCAAAATTTTGAATCGGTTAATTTATCATTGTAAAATCAATTTGTGAACAAAAATAAAAAAAAAAAAAATTTTAGGATAGAGCCCAGTTGGTAGTGCTAGGTGATTTTAATATCCCAGGGGTACTGTTTCCTCAAATAAATCCACAAATACCCTCCTTACTTCTACATAACATGATTTTATCGTTGGCTTGTTCGACATTTCGCTGTCTCAAGTCAACCATGTACGAAATTCTTTACAGCGTTTGCTCGATCTTTCGTCTCTGATCCGGCGAGAGTCAGTTTAGCCAGGGTGGCCCCTCTAACGCAACCCGAAAATTCGTATCATCTTACTTTCGATGTGACTCTTGATATTAAGTCTGACTTACAGAATATATCTGACCGTCCAGCCAAAAAAGTCCTTTGTTTTCGCAAGAGGGACTTTGAATGGCTGAAGGTATTTTTTATGAATTTATTTTATGAATGCATTATATCAGAAGAATATTGTGTCAATAATTAAAACAAAATTGACGAAGTTATGACTATTTTTATACTTGCCGGATTTTTGTTCTACACTACATTTTTTTGTGATTAAAACTTTAAAGCGCTTTTCCCACGTTTTTAAAGTCGGCGCCGAACATAACTTCAAAACTACTGCACCGATCCTTTTGAAATTTTAAACTCTATTTCTGTACATATTTTGCGAGGTAACGCTGTCGAGTTTTTTTTTTATAATTTTGATTTTACAATGACAATTAGACTATTTTTTCTCAAAAAATCGTGTTTTTCACTTCAAAGTCTTATCAAAAATTGGAATTAAAAAAAAACTCGACAGCGATACCTGGGGTTTTCTATAATCTAACGAAAGAATTTTGATATTTTGATTTCTGATGATCCGGAACTGAGTTATGATTGGCACCGCAATTTAACTTTTTTTCGAGACACATTAGGACAGGTGCTACCATTGCCATATTTTTATATATTTCTTTATACAAATTTTATAAGACATTCTTCGAATGTTATAATTTAATGTAGAATTAGTTAATTAAAATATTACATCAGACTTTCTCCTATATCCAAATCGAACTTAATGTTCAGTCCTAGCCTTAACGAAAGCTCTCTTCTTTTGGATCTTCATCGTGTCAAGCCAGTTTATTCGCCAGGTCCCGACAGAATTCATAGCTGTGTGCTCAGGTATTGTACCCTTCTGAAATATTTTACCTTATCTTTAGAAACCTCCCACTTTCCCCTTATTTGGAAGGAATTGGTTATTATTCCTCTCCACAAAAAGGTAGCAAATCGAATGCCAAAAATTAGAGAATAATCTCTAAGTTGTCGGCTATCTCAAACCTTTTCGAAAACGTAATTACTTTTCATTACCTTTATTTTTATTGTTACCTTTGTATTTTTATTGTTATTTCTCTATGTCAATAACAATAACAAGAAATATTTTGGAGCTATATTCATATATATCTATAATCTATAAAATGTAATCTATACTGATTTCAGTAAAGCATTTGACTCGGTTAACCATTCTCTCCTCGTAAGGAAACTCGATTTAATGGGATTCCGAATTGAACTTCTTAATTGGGTCTCTGATTATCTGAATGGCAAGACGCAAAAGGTCCTCTTTAAGAATAATTTATCTAATATTCTATGGGTTACTTCTGGCGTCCCGCAAGGAAGCCATTTCAGACCCTTATTGTTTACATTATTTATAAATGATATGCCCAAAGTCTTGACTAACTCCAGAGTGCTTATGTACGCTGATGACGTCAAGCTTTGTGTGCAATACAAGAAAGTCGCCTGCCAGTGGTGCCGTGTAAACTTATTAAACTTGATTGACATTCTCTCATGTCGTTCCTAAGCTTGCTACTTACACGCTGAAATGCTGCTCTTTGGAAAGAATTAATTCAGTTTATGTTTTGGACGTCCGCTTGGACCCTAAACTTGTCTTTATATATCATATTTCGTCTATGGTGAAAAGAGCCTATGCTTGGATTTATTAAACGGTGTTCGAAGGAATTCAATGTATGTATGTTACTAAATCCTTCTATACCTCTTTAGTTCGTCCTATCTTAGAATATTGATGCTGCGTTTGGAGCCCTCAGTACGGCGACCATAGCAAACGCATCGAGGCCGTTCAAAAGAACTTTTTACTTTTCGCTCTATGCTGTTTAAATTGGGATGCAAGCCAAAGATTACCTTCTTACACTGATAGACAACTCCATATTAACTTACCATTCTTAGATAACCGTAGAACTATGCTTGGCATTACCTTTTAGGTATGACCTCATTCATGGTGACGTGGAAAGTGCTGACTTGTTGAGTCAGCTCAAATTCCGTGTACCAAGAGAAATACTATACTAGATCCTATATTCCTTTAGTGTTGCACCACCGTAGAACCTCCTTCGAACTGCATGAACCTTTTTGAGTCTTATGTTCAAATTATAATGATTTGTACACAGTAATCTCTCTACCCTTCCCAAATTAAAATTTTTAATACTAACACACTTAATAAACATGTAAGCAAACAACCTGGCAGCACGCCCGTAGTCAATTTCCTCGTATTCTGTGCTATATTTTCCATCGCGAACACCTAACCCAAACAAGCACGTGCCTTGTTGCATACGGGCCACTTGTACGTACTGACCGTAGTGCATCAACCTTTATTATATATAAAAATGTGTTCTTGAAAGGCAGCAAGGAAAATTGTTAAAATTGGTGCTGGAAGCAACAGATGTATCTACGAGGAGTCCAAAAATCGTACACGGCCCGCCAAGTTGGATGCACGTCGTCGACAGAGATTGGAAGCACTAAGTCAACAATTAGAAGCCCTTTTTATGTGTATGCGCCAGATCAAGAAACACGGAAAAAGAAGAATGATGCGTTTTCAAGCACAGTTTTTCAAGTTTTAACCGTGTTTTGAAAAGTACGTTTTTTTGTTGCTGTAATTTGCTCAAGTATAAGATATGCATCCAGAGACTTTTAGCTTAGGGGAACCAGATTATTTTTTGAGGAATGACTAATAACAAGGATTCCGAGCAGCTATTTTCGTCGATTTCTGTTGGATCAAATTTAGCCACAGGTTTTACCGGAACCTAAACAGAGAATTGACATGTGATTTAATATCCTATCCTAATTTTTTTTAACAATTAAATTTTATTTACAAATTTGACATAATCCCTTTTTTATAGACTTATTGAACACAATAAATAGATCCTCATAATAAAACGAAAAAGAGTCAGAGACATTCGAGTTAAATTAATAGCAATCAAAGATATAATTGTTTTGGACCACATTCTATTGAAAACTTTGAATATAGCTCCAGCTAAAGGTAGAAAAAAGCCGAAAAAGCTGCCTCCTTCTTAAACCGTCGTGATGCGACAGATAGACTGTCCGATACCAAAACAAGCTGGACAGGTACCTCAGGAAGTAAGATAGAACTTACCCCGACCCTGTTCTTGAACTCATCACGTCCTGTAACGAGAAATAAGCAGTATGCATTCAGCATCTCACAACCTTGACTGATAAAAACATGGTTTGACAGAGAATGCAGTAAGGCATGGGCAGTTTAGACCTCTAGAACCTCCCCTTAAATACGGAGTGCATACCACCTAGGGCCATAGGGCTCGATCTGTAAGTTATTCATTGAGCTTTTGTCGTTAAAAAAGATACGAATATTGACGGATGAATTGGGCATTAGGTCCCTGATTGGAAGGGAAACAGGGCCGAGCTCAATCAAATAGAGAATGTCTGGGCCCATGGTGCAGAGAAAATAAAAAAGGCGAACTAAAACAATGTTTGATAGAAAAAGTATGGTTCGAGGAATAATAAGCGCTTTGTAGAAATCAATGGCCAACAGGGTAAAACGTGTAATGAAAGGTAGACGGGGTACTGCAAACTATTAATACAAATTAAACAACAAAAAAGTAGCAATAATTTGATACAAAATATATTTTCGATTATACAAAGTTATGTATAACTATGAAAAAATACTATTCATTAAGTATATGCATTATATTTTTCTCTAAGAAACAAACAAAAATAAAATAATAATTGCTAAGCATTTATATAAAAAAACGTACCATTATTCAGTAAAAAAAAATAATTGGACAGTTCAGAAAGAGGTAAGAAATAAGAAAGTCAATATTTAGGCTATGGCTTTTTTTCTAGCGCTGGGTATACATATATGGCTAACAAATTCTATTCTATTATTCCATTAATTTCTCGATCGTTCTTATGGTAGCGGATTAACAAGGTCTTCTGTTGTGGCACGTTCCGACAAGGAACAAGGCATGTTTTCACATACTTTGTGAGGAATTTTATATTAATTCTACACACAAATTGTCGTCTGTATCTTAGGTATATATTGGTTATGAAAACAACCACTTTCAATCCAGTCACCTATATAGTTTACTCAATATATTTACAGTTACTGTTTAACACTACCATTTAGGCATTTTACTGTACATTTAACCCCATATTTTCTTTGGCAGCTATATGGTAATCTATGTTATGTATGTATGTTAAAAACTGAAAAAGTTATACTTTTAAACACGCTTTTATTAGTTCGGGATGTTTGTATGTATGTAACAAAATCTTTGAATACTTTGCATACCTCTCAAGGACCGATGACAATGCAATAATTTGATAACAATTTTTCATTATCCTGATTAGGAACGTCAGGATTGATAAATTCTTTTATAGATCCTCCGTAAAGGAGTTTCGGATTTACTCTTTCGCTCAGGCAGTTGACGGATACTCTTTCTCGTGAGATACTTTTTCACGGTGGTTGCATTTTCAGCTTGTTTGTTCAAAAAACTTACTTACTTCTCATCACTCGTGTCGAAAGGTTTAGTGAATGGCAATATGGGTTTTATCACCGAAAGTATATTCCAGTATATTTCATCAGTCCGTGTTGATTTCGGATCAGATGGTGTGCACCTCATTAAGCCGAAACCGTTACAGTTTCCAGCAAAATACGGCTATGGAACTGCTGAGAGACGGATGTTGCCATTGTAACGGCCTGAAGCGACAGTTTAAAACAAAAACTCGCCAATGAACGTCGATTAATTAGGGGAGCTAAAAAAGGACGTTGCCACCTAGTAAAGATAGTTATCGAGGCTCAGCTGTTAGCAAATAGTGTTCCTAAGTGTGACTCGTGTCACTTGTCAGTGGCCCGAAGTTCCGCCAGCCATTTTTGATCTCGGCCTATTTTGTTCTTGATTTATCTGCGAATAGACGTGTATGAGCTTCAAGTAGCCGATAATTAAATTTTAAAGGCAAACTTTATTCGGACCCGTCTCGCCTTGACAGGGGGACTGGGGTTTAACCTAAATTCGCAGAAAGAGAGTAAACGCCAACCTTTGTACGCTGGCGTTGGCAGCAGCAGTGTTCGCACTTGGTGCGAAAATTTGATAGTCAAAGCCAAAAGTAACAAAACGGTGAAGCCGTCTTTGGGGTATAAGTTTAATGTTAAACTGTTTGCAGTTCACAAAAGGAGTGATTTCGGCCACCGCCTTCGCCTTTGCGCCACGAGCATTGAGTTTGCGGCTGGGCGAGGCTGTGTTTGTATTATTTCGAGAATTTCTCCCCGGAAAGCCTCACAAACCTTTCAAGGGGAAGGAGTTGTTTTAGAGGATCACCCTCTGTTGCCTTTGCGTAAAGGTTTCTCCGGAACTAACAAGGAGCAACGAAAAGACCAGATGGAGATCTAAGGCAAAGAAATTTAGCGAGGTGGCCAGAGACAGTCTGGCTATGGCAGTGGTGAACGAGCTCCATGACGACGGTCGCCTGCTGTCGAAGTGGGAGGAGATCGAGGCCGAAATGGTAACTGACAGGTTGGTTAGTATGCCGACCGGTCCCATCCCCTCCTTAGACTCCTCAGACGTGGTCAGAGGGCACCAGGTCATCAAATGTGACGACGGGTTTTCCCGAAGCTTCCTGGCGGAGTGTGTGGCTAAGATCAACGAAACATGGGAGATCCCAAGGAGACCCAGAGCTCGCATCTGGTTACCAAAGGGGCAAACTGACCATGCAAGGGTGATTGCCTGTTTGAGGCCCAGGACCCAGACATCCATTCAGAGGACCGGACCATCCTCAGAGCAGAGCAGGAAATGAAGGCGAGCCAGCCAGATAAACCAGCGCTGCCTGCCCCAGCTGGAGGCCAATGACCACAAGGTCCGGTACGGCATCAGGAAGGCCAAGATAAAGATCTTCTTGGCCGAGCCGGACGAGATATTGGAGGAGGTCGATGACACCAACAAACTGTTGGACGACATGGTCATCGACGACAAATCTCCTGACGCCACCCCCACCAACATCGATGTCGAGAATCATGCAGATTAATCTGAAGCGCAGCTCGCACGCTTCAGCTAATCTCACGATCCTTCTAATGGAGAGGGATATCGACATCGGTTTGATACAGGAGCCTTGGACCAGGGACGGTCAAGTCGCTGGACTGAGGATCCAAGGACACACACTACTGTGCACAAGCACGAATGGTAGGCCGAGAGCTTGCATTGTAATTAAGAATTATTTTAATGCTTTTCTCTGTCCCAATCTGAAAACTGAGTGGCACTCACCTCACGCGGTCTGTGAAGAGAGGCACACCTCAGGTCGGGGTATTATCGCCCCTACTCTGGCTCACAAATATGAACGCCATATTATTTATGATTTTATTAGATCATAAATGGTAGGAATTATAGGTAATTGCATTCCGTATTTTAGGGACTACAATCTAGGCATTATCAAGTAAGTATGAATGGTAGAAAAATATGTATGCTCTAAGGCCATATAGCTATAGCTATTTCTATATATATATATTTATATGATCGCTGATCGATGCTTCGAATTATTCAAGTCTTATCTTATAATATGGGAAAGAAAAATACGAAGAAAAAAATTCAAATTTCATGCAATATTCTGTAGTGGGCGTCGTCTTCGTACCAATAGCAATAAAAGTAAATAAAGATCCCAGTAACTTAATACTTAATCTTGTTTCTTGGAGAGCATTCCTGCCTCACATGAGGCCTGATTGAGCTGCTGATATGGCGTCAGATATTTGGTGATCGAAAAGAGTGCCCCGTCGCGCACCATCTTGCACATGAGAGAGTCCAGATTCTTGGCATCATCGATGCCCGAGTGGGTCCTGCCCTCGAAAGCCAGTCCCACGTGGGAGAGGGCATCGCTAAAGTTACACGGACAGTACTTGTACCACGACCGATAAATGATTGAAGTAGGCCGCCTTCCGCATCCGCTTTCGTGTGCACTCCTTGGCCAGACAGATGCCAAAGTCCCAGTCCGTCCAGGTGACGAAGGCAATGCGCTCATGCCCCGCGGGAATTGGGGAGTTGAACAGGCTTTCAATCTCTCTAACTCAGCGACGGTCTTTCAGGCTGAGTTACTAGCCATAAGGGAAGCAGTCGAACTTTCCTTAAGGCAGGACCTCAGGGGCAACACAGTTCGAATCTACTTGGATAGCCAAGCGGCTATAAAATCCCTAGCTGCCGTGAAAACGAACTCACGACTCGTGGCAGAATGCAAGAAGGCCCTTAATAGACTTGCTGACAAAAATAAGGTACAAGAATCATGGGTACCGGGACACAACGAGATCCCAGGAAATGAGAAGGCAGACGAATTAGCCCGTGCAGGCTCGGCAGGGCTAAGTTCAGACTTCGAATTACCGATCTCTCTAAACGCGATCCAGACAAGGATCCATGACCACTTCAAGCAGATAACTAATAAAGAATGGCAAAGTAAGAGCGATCACAGAAGGTCATGGGAATGTTGGCCGAGGTACGACAAGAAACGAACCAGTGAACTGCTATCCAACAGCAAGCGGGATATTAGCAGGTTCACGGGACTCACCACGGGACATTGGGCTATCGGTTCGCACGCAATGAAGGTGGGACTGCCATACAATGCAATCTGTAGAAGCTGTAAGCAACCTACAGAGCAAGAGACACAGGAACATCTGCTCTGCTTCTGCCCAGCGCTAAACCACATCAGACTTCGCCACTTTGATGCCTACCAGATGGCGAAGTATAGGAAAGCTGAAAGTTTCAGCAACCCTAGGTTTCCTTACTGACTCTGGGTGGTACTGATAGTGAACAAGAATAACAAACAGAGGGAGTGGATCAAAAAGGAGCTTAGCTCTAATTGGAAGCCTTAGCAATGGGCCTCACCACTTTAACCTACCTACCTAATTAGGATTGTTTCGATGGCAGCTAAATAATATAATTGTCTGAACTGACTAGTTACGACATATGTACATATATAATAGTGGGAGCATAAAAAATACCAACAGCAAAGTTTAATTAAGAAAGCTTCACAACTAGTTTTCATTGAACCGGACACACGGCATAATACATATATACACTCAACCGCATATCTCTGCGTACACCCCAAAAAAAATTCAAATTCAAAATTTAAACACAAACTGTTCAGTTAATTATTAACATTTTAGACAAATTTTTAAATTAGGGTTGGAACATGAATTTCGCTTTCAACAGGACAATGATCCGAAGCACACGGCACACAATACAAAACTTTACTTTCTATTAAAAGTTAAAAATCAGTCGCGAATATCTCCACAGAGTCCACATCTTAACCCAATTAAGCATTTGTGGCATCTCTTGGAGCGGAAGATCCGGAAACATACAATAACGTCGAAAAAAATGCTTAAGGATGTCATTGTGGAGGAAAGAATCAAAATTACAGGCGAGGAGCCAAAAAATTCTGTGGATTCCATGCCGAGACGCTTTACGGAGGTTGTACACAGAAATGGATACCATACCAGATATTAAAATAAGTATATTATTAAATTAAAATAGTTTTTTGGCAGCTGTACGCAGGCTTTTGCGGGGGCATTTTTTTTACAGTGTTAAGTTTAAAATTAAAAATAAAATATAAAGCATTGATTCATAATTCTAAAAAAATATGCCATTGAAGACATTAATAAAGAGTATGTTAGAAAAAAAATTTGTCTAAAATGTTAATAATTAACTGAACAGATTGTTTTTAAAGTTTGAATTCGAAATTTTTTTGGGGTGTACGCAGAGATATGCGGCTGTGTGTAGGTCGATCGACTCGACTGTTAATGCTGATAAAAAATATATATATTTTAAATGGTCACCGCGTTGCAAACTTCTGACAAAAATTATATCCTCATAAAAAATTATTATAAAGGTTCATCGGACAGAAAACCCGAGTTACAGATTTAACAACAATCACACTAACCTTAAGCATAGCATCTCGTGGAAAATGATTATCTTGAATCATACATGTTACAATTTGTAGTTTAACTAGTGGGTTTTCAATAATATTCACGACACAGGCGTGGTATATGTTTGCTTGACATTCTGTCGGTCCGTGTTGACAATCAAATGTTAGTTCACCTTTCTTATTTTTGTTTGTTGTTGCTTTCCCGTAGGGAATGAGGTGGATCTCCAAAATCGATGAAATTGCAATAAAAGTTGGTAACATCTGTTTGGTAAGAAAATACTTTGAGTCCGGACACAATGCCTCATAAAACACCGACAATAAAACCGGCGCACCTTCAGTTTTCAAGTAATCTGGTTGGTCCTAGAGAGAGAAAAAAATGTTCAGGTTTGTACATACATATGTACATACATATGTACATATATTTTCAAAAGAAAGTACTTACATTCAAAAATTGCATTGGTGAGTTTTGGGATAATATTCTCAACAAACAAACTAACAGTAAAACCACAAAAATTATAATAAATATACGCTTACGTGCTGGAATCATTTAGAGCCTTTATGACTGGTTGTGATGGTACTTTATAGATTTCTATAATAGCACCTTATATTTGTATATGTATGTATGTACGTATGTATTTAATTATTACTTGTTATTTTCGTTTTATCCAATGTGATTCCAAAATTATCGATTAAATAGTGTTTGGACATTTAAAAATACACAATTTATACTATTTCCTTTGTAAGTAAATATATATACTACTAATATACAATTTTTGTACTGTATTGTTTTTCTATTTTGCATGTATATTATTGACAGATATACAAATGTATTGAAAACATACTGAATTTAAAGATTCAATAACGAAAAGAAAATTGCAGATTAATACCGTAGAAATGCAGTGAAATGGAAGCGAAGCCGCGATGCCACACATAAATAATTCATAAATATGACGAAAAAATAACTTTATTAAGTCTAGCACTGTCATAAGATAAATCCGCTTGACGAATGTTGGCAGCAAAATGGCTCGGTAAACAGTAAATAAAAACAAAAAATTTTAAAAAAATGAGAAAATGGTCACAGTGAAAGCTAAAGCTAGCTGTTTTTTGTAGACTTTATAAGGTTAAAATAAAATGGATTTGAAATGAATCGAATCGAGTATTTTCGCATTTTAAATGTCTTTTGTAACTTAAATCTCACATGATGGGTCTTTTCATTATCATTACCATTCCAACCTTTTCTTGCCACCTAGAAAAGCGTTTCATGCGAGAAAGGTTTTCATTTTTTATATTTCCCTCCATCTTGTCTTAAAATACATATGTCTTATAAATACATCACAGTAGCTTAGCAGCGTATTGCTTTTCGCTCAGAAGATTTATCTTATGTTAGTACCCCCTAATCGAAATATCAGAAAGTTCCTTTTCGTTCTCCTTTTGGCTGCTTTTTTTATGTGGGGTTTTACCCCTTGAAGATTATTTATCTTATGTTAAAACTAGGCATTAAGGATGAATGAATATGTTGAGAAAAAATTTAACATATAAAAATTTTATTTTATTATTTGTAGTGCTCTAGCTCATGCAGAGTAAGTGGTAACCGTTTTACCGTTCATTCAGTCTATAATCTCCAAATCCTTTTCAACTTATTCATTTTAATAAAGTGCCAACAGAATCAACAGAAGTCAAAATAGTTGGTAACTTATGGATTTTGGTTCCACAGGAGATATATTGATATTTTTTAAGAGCTATTATATATCTGGATATAGCTGTTCGAGCAGCTATTATCAGATAGTGGATTCAGCTGGAACCGTGATACAATTATACAAGGTAGTCCCGTTGGAAAATCTAGAACCTCTTCAATCAAAGCAATGAGTGCGAGTGACAGGGGCTCAACCAAGTAAGTTCGAGCGGGACAATAGAATGAGTTGATTAATCCTTAGATGATGTATGGGGCAAAAAATTTATTTTTATAATAAAACGAGGTATTATATTTGTTTTCGTGTTGCGAAGCTTTTTTTTCAAGTTCTTAATTCAAAAATATATTTTAAGCTTAAAATAGATTTTCTTATTTAAATGTCATGTAGCATAAGGTTAATGTTTGACAAAATTTTGTCCGCTTACAACCTTTCACTACGGAATACGCATATACCCGAGCACTTTGCTGCCGAATGGACTACCGTCGTAATTGTATCGTGGCTGGAACTCTTTGAAATAGGAGTTTCGCATCTGTAAAAATTCCACCTTTTTCACGTAGAGACAGTGTGGAAAGGCAGTATTAATTGCACCTCAACACAGCTGTCAATAATCTAATATCCTCCTCTCACATAGATGTTTCTACCATCAAGCATTCATATATGGATGGATGGTCCATAAGGTAGAGCTTTCGAAAATTTGTTTTCTATATGGATTTAATTTTTTTTAGCGATAGTTGGTTGTCTGTCCAACTGTGAACTCTGCCTCATGCCAGTGGAAAATTAAGTAACATTTAAAAAGAGAAACATATATAATTTTGAACAGACAAAAACTGAATTATGAAAAGTGCGAGAGCTAGGAATAAAGTATATAACGAAATTGTACCGAACTTGTTCAATCGCAGGGTAAAAAAAAAAGAAATTAAAATCATTAAGGCGAGTAACGCTGTAAAGATGCAAATCACGGGCCAGGATAAATACAAATTCGGACCAGGGTTTTCCGCAAAAACATTTATTGTATTCGGGGACAGGCAGGCTGCCCAGCCGACAACAGTGCGTGAGTTGACCCGAGGGTAAAGCTTCCGCTAGGCGGTGGCGTGCTCCTCGGCCTGGGAGAAAGGACCCGTTTGGGTTGAGATTAAGCCGGCCCCGGTGCCGCGCACCGACTGCTCCAAGGTCCTACTAGGATGCTAGGATGCGGCACCGCTCCCCAATATATACTAATCGTCCGTTTAATTAATCATGACCCTGTTCCTAGCTATATAAAAATCTTTGTTCCTAAGTCTCCCATGCCAATGGGATTTCAACTAGGGGAATGGGTACCGAGGCCCAGCTCACCAACTCCTCTTAGCCAGTCACCATGGAAACTCACCTATCTACGGTGGCGGGCCCCATGGGAAGCGTCGTCCTGTGCGACTCTTCGATCGAGTCAGCCCGCAAGACTCAGATCCGCGAGGATTTACGTTTCCACTCCGCGTCCCGTGACTGTGGCGTAGCTGATTCCATTCGTGGAGTTTTTTCCCGAGGCACGTCAGTATCGTTCAGTATTCGCCAACGGACTCCTCTTTGGGATCTCCAAAATCTCACACCCCCGAGGCACGGCGTTCTCACCCTTGGCTGGCACAAAGCTTATTTTGCTTGCACATCACCGTCGGGCTTCAATCACTTCGGCTCTTCGGCTCTGTTGCCAAGGGCTTTTGGCAGCCGAAGGCCTTACGTGCTGCTGGTGACGTGATGCTCATGAGTTTTTTTCACAGCCGAAACTCGCTCGGCTGCCCGCACGTGCTCGGCTGGGCTCTGCCGTAGCCCCTATGCTTGGCTCTGCCGGGGCCCTGTTAAGGGTTGGCATTGCCGCGGCTGTGCCGGGGTGCGTTGGCCTCCCTGATTGAAACCACTGCCTGCTCTGATTAGCTATGCCGTGTGGGTGTAAGGCTATGCGCGAGGGCTCTGCCGTGTCATCAGTAATTAATTAATAGCCATACAAACTGTTGATGAATTTAACATTGGTATGTCCTAGGCTGTCATTATCGATAAATCATCAACAATTTATCAACAATTCATCATATGGTACTGCAGGGTGTGACCTCTGGGGATTATAAAAATCCGGACCAAGGCGGGTGTGGGCAACGCCTGGTCATGATTATGGCAGGCGATGTGTATACCCACGGCTCGGGTCAGCCACACTCGGTAGTGCACAAGGCGTTGCAGCTGTGTGTGGTAACCCCTACTCCAACTACCCTGCAGTACCGCATGTCATCAATAGGCCACTGTCATCAACGCGCCGACTGCGACTTCTACCGAGGCCACGCTCTGCGGACTGCGACTTCTACCGAGTCGACGCTCTGCCGACTGCGACTTCTACTACGACGCTCTGCCCACGATACAGTTAAGATGGTAGTCTAGACGGCAGTCGTCGGCAGTATCATGGCTCGGCCGTTAATGAATTTTGTTGATGAATAATCGATGAATTGTTGATGAATTATCGATGAATTGCTGATGAATTTGCTGAAGTATTGTTGATGATTTTGTTGTATGGATTGTTGATGAATCATCGATGAATTGTTAATGAATTATTGTTGATGACAGCCTAGGACATTTCCATGTTAAATTCATCAACAATTTGTATGGCCATTCATCGATGAATCATCAACAACGCCGCCTTGACTATTGATGAAACGTTGATGAATTACTGATGACTGGTATTGCAGGGTAGCTATATTTTTAAACACGATTTTTTCGTCTTGGCTTTAGAACTGTCTCGTTTCGTTTAAATGCCAGTGAGAAAGCTTTTTTGTAGCAGGTGCTCTCGTGTACGCTTGCAGCGACAGTCGCCGATTGTTCGTTTTCTAGGATCAAAATATACCATTTACATTATAAGTTCTAAGTTCATTTTGAAAGACACTTGGTGATTCCCATATTGAAAAACGTATATTTTTATGTAAATTATTCAAATGTAATACATTCAATAGTAATGGCCAGATATTGATACACAAAATATTTTACACATTGGGTATTAAGGGTGCGACGTGCGAAAAAAATTTATATTAATAATGAAAAGATACTTCAAAGCCGGAGATTCATTTCTTGAGCGTCTGTTCTTTATTTTATATTAAGTCGAACTGAAAGCTAGCATTAAAAAGAAATCAAAAGCGGCCACGCAAATATGCTGTGGCATCCGGCTAGACGCTGTTTCAACAGCTTGGCCGGTGCAAGCTCGGACGATCGGTCATCGCCGTCGACCGTTTGAGTTAGTTATCGAATCCCGCAGTTCTTGTGGCCTGGGTGACTCGCCTCTAGGTTAAGCCGATGCAGATCAAAGCGCAGAATATAGCTCCCGTGCTAAGTGCTATTTGATGTGATCGATAGTCTTTGATCTTCTTCCCGAATTTTTTAATACGTTCCAAATCACGCTCAACCAAGCGGCGAAGGTATGGAAGACTGAGAACATTGCGCTACTCCTGGAGACCTTTCCTGGGCTGGTTTCGTTGACTGTTGCAGGTTATGATAATGAGGTAAGTATTTGGACGTTTTTGCCATTGTCCACACTCACGCTAGCCGAGTGATAATTTACAATAACATTCCCATGTCAACGTAAGTAACGGGTTGCAAGTTAATTTGTGGACCTCACAGTGTGCAGTACCTCCAGCGTAGAGTTCCTGTGTGCACGATCTTCTTAGTGCCAGCTGGCAAAATTTAGCCCCTGGTGTTATGGAGCAATTCTTTACCGTATGGATCTCCCCGTTGCATTCCGCTATTACCTTATCTTCCAGTTTGGGCATAGTGTCGTAATGTGACGCGGAAGAAATGGGGACCTTTTACAGGCTGATTTAGTTTTAAAAAATTTGATAATGAAGTGCAGAATGTTGAAAGACTGTAGGATTTATAATCGCGGTCTCGGTGGGCTCTTCGATTCACACATTTTCCAGGTCTGCATGATCAAGAATGCTAGGTCTAACGATGGTGACCTTAGCAAGAACTACTGCAGCC